TAAAGGGCCCTGCCACTCTAGATCCTCTCAAATCGCCTCTTGGGCCCATCTCGAGGCGCTCTTGGGGCCGTCTTGAGGCTCTCGTGCGCCCCTCTTGGGGCTATCTTGGGGCCCTCTTGGGGCCATGTTGGGCCCTCTCGGGGCCATCTTGAGGCCTCGGAAGGCAATCGGAAGCGCAAAGGCGAGAAAGCAAACAACAAAAAAACATCGATTTCCCTTAGGTTGTTGAAGTGTTTTGGCCTCTTTGAGGCCTCCTGGGAAAGCTAGTTGGCCTCTCGGGGCCGTCCTGGGGCGGTCTTCGGGCCTATTGGCGCATCTTCGGAACCATCTTGAGGCATCTGGGGCTAGCTTGAGCAATCTTGGAGCTCACCTTGGGCTCCCCCAGGCGCTCTTGGAGCCATCTTGGTCCATCTTGGACGCTCCAACTACCAGCGAAACCTCCCGTGCAGGTCCAGGGGGCGGGGTAGGGGGAAGGGTAAACCCCTCCCCGAAGGGGAAGAAAAGGGGGTTGGAAGAGGAAGCCCCCTAAACCACCTACGCCCAGAGGGCTGGTGGGATTTGGTTAACATTGCGTCGGGGGGCAATTTCGTTAGCACGGCTGCCCAAGAGCACCCTAGGCGAAAGCAGACAAGTTGGCGGTGTCTTCGGCGATGCCGCCGCCTCCTGGGCCCCAAAGAAGCGGGGGGGCGCGAACGGTTCCGGAGAGGGTCGTTGGGACGGGCGCCAATTCCTCAGCACCTTGTGCTTGACGACGTACCGCAGCGCCATCCACACCATGCGCTCGACAGGGCCCTTCTGCAACTGCGCGCACTCGACGCTGTTGGCGAGCAGGGCGTACAGCTGCTGGAGCGAGAAGGGGTCGCAGGTCTGCAAGTGTGTCTCCAGTCTGTCAAGACCCTTGATCTTTGCGGCGGGGTTGTCGCCGAGCACCATCTTCATGATGCTGACCAGCTCATCGTCGAAGGGGGCGTCCACCATGTCATCTCCGGCGGGCTCCTCGAGCGCCTCCCAATCCGCGGAAGCGAACCCGAAGTCCCGTTCCACGTCGCGCCAGAATTTGCCCTTCACGTGCACGCCGCTCGACATTGTGCGCCGCACCTCTGCCGTGACGACCTGCTCGAGGCTGAGCCTCTCAGCGTTGCGCGCGGTCTTCAGGAGGGTCGCAGAGATGTGGGGAAACTTCAGGCGCAGCTTCCTCTGGACTTCAGCACGGACCTCCTGCTCCGCCTTCGACACGTGCGGCGCGGCATCGGGGATCTGGCTCAGCCCCTGCCCGGACGAACCCGCGGCACTCGGCGAAAAGCTTGTTTTGCTGCTGCTCTGGGCCCCCTCCTTGACCTTCACCACGGCCTTCGGCTGCTCGGCCTTGGCGGCCTTGCCCTTCGTCTTGGAGCCCCTCGGGGCCATGGCAACGCAGCGGGCGCCCGGGACCAGAATCTCTGCACTGCGCCTGGGACGAAAGGCTGCGGATAGCCACGCTGCCAGGGCACAGGGGCGCAGGAATAAGTCCCCCACCGAGCAGTGGCACGTGGGGGCGTGTATGGATGTTTCGGCGCCCCCCCGAGAATATTACATAATGTTTCCGCATGTGTTTTCCGCGGGCCAATGGCCCTTGCCCGCCTGGGTCGTCCCCCAGGGGCCCTTCGTGCACATCTGGAAGGAATAGGGCGTGAACTTTTGACTCCGCGGGTCCCCGCTGGAAGCCCTCGGGATCCTGAGGGGAGCGGGGGGGGGGGAATTGAAGAATTGCAGACGGATCCGATCAAGCTCCCTGGGTAATCGTGGCAGCAATATGCGGGGTGATTTTTTGAGACCCCACCGAACCCCTCAAAGTAATCCCAAAGAGTATCCAGAGATACCCAACAAAACTCCAACAAGGCCCCCAGGGACATGGATCACAAGGCTGTGAATCGATTCGCCTCCAAGGGGCGGCATGGGAAATCTCATGGCGCTTTCCGGATACCCGTATGTGGCCTTGCTTCAGCACGCAACACACTCGAACCACTGTTCCTGTCACGGGAGCTTCAGCACTGGTTCATGTCACGAGGGCGCGTTGTGCAACCGCCCAACGCCACGATACCCCCCTTATCAAGCACAAACCTGGGACAATGCGGGGCCAAGTGTGCAAATTAGCATGTGCACGAATGCGCCCAATGACATGTTATCAAACCTCAACTGTCCGAAACCACGCGTCTACCACATGTCAGCAACAAAAAAAGCTGATATGAAAACGCAACTGTCCAAAACGAGTTCCCTGGACAATTGAATCGCGGTTCTGATGTCTCGAATGTCATGCCGCAGGTTGCCTTCATCATCCGCCACAACACTGCGGAACCTCAACTGTTCCTAACAATTGTTTCTCTGGGCTCCTTACCACCAAGCTAACCCAACAACGCGGATGAGAAACGCCCAGCCACCAAACCAAAACAAAAAAAAAAAACGTAGCCTGGCGAAAAACCCAACCATATACAATTGGGGGCTCCATGTGGGGCCGCGGACCGTGTGAGGGGTGCGTCCATGTGACGTGGCGCCGCCATGTGGACGATGCTACTGGGGCCTTCGGTGGACCCCCCTGTGGGTCCACGAACCGCGCGCTGGGTTTGTAACCGCACGATTTGTGAAGACCGCATGCGGGGCGGCGCACGCTTTGTGAAGACCGTCTGCGGTGTTTTTGGCCAGAGGATTTGTTAACACCGTCTGCGGGGTTTTTGGCGGCACGATTTGTTAACACCCTGGGCGCGAAACGATGTGCGAACACCTGGGCGCCGCACGATGTGGTAACAACCTGGGCGCCGCGCAGTCCCACCAGCCCTTTGGGCGTAGGTGGTTTGGGGAGCTTCCTCTTCCAACCCCCTTTCTTCCCCTTCGGGGAGGGGTTTACCCCTCCCCCTACCCCCTCCACTGGACCTGGACGGGAGGTTTCGCTGGTAGTTGGAGCGTCCAAGATGGCCCAAGATGGCTCCAAGAGCGCCTCGGGGAGCCCAATATGAGCTCCAAGATTGCTCAAGAAGCTAGCATCTGATGCCTCAAGATGGCTCCGAAGATGCTCCAGTAGGCCCGAAAACCGCCCCAGGACGGTTCCGAGAGGCCAGCTAGGTCCCCCAGGAGGCCTCCAAGAGGCCAAAATCCATCAAAAACCGAAGGAACATCAATGCGTGTTGCTTTCTCACCCTTTCGCTTCCGATGGCCTTCCGAGGCCTCAAGATGGCTCCAAGAGGGCCGAAGATAACCCCAAGAGGGGCCCAAGATGGCCTCAAGACGGCCCCAAGAGCGCCCAAGAGCGCTCCAAGAGCGCCTCGAGATGAGCCCAAGAGGCGATTTCAGAGGATCTAGAGGGGCAGGCCAAATTAACCCCACTCTCTTCTTTGATCGATCGCCTCCAAAATGGCCCTAAGAAGTGCCAAGGAGGCCCCGAAAGGCGCCAAGATGGCCCCAAGATGGCCCCAAGATGGCCCGAACATGGCCCCCACAGCTCCCCGAGAGGCTCCCCGGGGCACCCAAGACGCCCCAAGAGGCCTCCGGGACCGCCGAAACGCTCCCAAGACGCCCTAAGAGGCCTTCAGGACGCCCCCACGAGATCCCCGAAGAGACTCCGAGAGGCATCCAAGAGGCCTCTGGCCATTCTGCTCGCCCTTCTCCTCGTCCTCCTTTTCATTATCGTCCTGCTCCTGCTCCTCCTCCTCCTCATCCTCCTCATCCGCCTATTGCTCTTCCTCCCTCTACCCTCCTCCCGCTCCCCCTTTTCCTCCTTGAGTTCCTCCTCCTCATCGTCCTCCGATTCATCCTCCATCCTCGCCGTCTTGGGTAAGACGGGTTCCCCAGCCTTTTGTTATTCTGTATGCCCCCCACTTCCCTGATCACCCCCATTCGCCTGGGCATCGTTACTGCATGGGCTGTTGGGGATACGCGAAGCGTCAAGAATTTGTTGGTCTGGAACAGACTGGGCGCTATACGATTTGTTAACACCGTCAGCGGAGCTGTTGGCCGCACGACATGTTAACATTGTTTCCGGCGGGGGCGGGGTGGCAATGCCACGTCCGCGCGTCGCAACGCCACTTCCGCGTGCGAAATGCACGCCCAACTGGAGCGGCGCCGCCATGTGGACCTTGCCACTGGAGTCTTCGGTGGAACTCCCTGCGGGGCCACGAACCGTGATGATGCGTGCGCTTAAACAAGGCGGCGCCGCCATGTGGGCCCTGCCGCTGGGGCCCCCCCCGAACTCCATGTGACGCCACGGACCGTGTCAAGTCTGCGCCCACATGGCGCGGCGCCGCCATGTGGACCGTGCCGCCGAAATCTGCGGTGGAGCTCCCTATGGGAACGACGCCCCCCCACAAGGGCTGGACCAAGCAAGAAGCAGGCGGGGGTGGCCGCCACCGTGTCCCCTCGCCCTCTTCCTCCTCCTCATCTTCTTCCTCCTCCTCCTGCAAATTTCCCCCCCTCCTCTCCCCCCCCCCACCGCGCCGCCATGTCCCCCCACCCCCCCCATCGCCGCATAATGCTACTGCGATCCCGCTAGGACCGCGAATCGCCCGGCGAACGCGGCACGACCTCGTGGACGCACCAGACCGCCCCGACAAACAGCCCAACCAAACTGACCGACAAAATGCCCACCCGGACCGTCGAACAAAATTTCCGGGGGGGGCATCCTAACTGTGAATTTACACTTGTCCTGTAAATCTGCAACCTCTTGTCCTGTGAATGGCGAGGACGGCAGCCGACCTCTTGTCCTGCAAATCTGACAGCTCGCAAAGCAAATCCCGACGCCGCTGGGCATCGATGGCGCGCGCCTCCGCAGCGAACTCTTGCTTCTGAACCCAAGATAAATCCTCGAACTTGGCGCGATGCTGAGCAAAACATAACCTGGACCACGCCTGGGCGCCCATGCCCTCTGGTTTCTCCCTACGCGGATCTGCCTGCAAGTATTTGAAGAACGCATTGAGGGCAGTGTAGGGCGGCCCTGTGATAGCCCGCCGCACGCGCAAAATATCAGCGTCAATCTACTCTAGTTTTGACTCAATGGGGAGGCTTGAAAAAAAAACCCTGCATTGATGGATGGCGGCGCGGACCTGCAAAGATCGAGTGCCGAACAAAGCATGGGACTTCAGCGTTGCCGCGCCGCTGCCGTGCCCTTGCTCCACGAGGTTGGTGCAGCATGGGGCCTCTCGGCATAGGCGCAACAACCTCTCGAGAACGGACAAGTCTACGCCGAGTTCAATGGACATCCGCATGCACTTGCTGAACTCATCGTTCAACTCGTGGTATGGCATAGACGACAAATGCTGGAGGTTGGCTCGTAAATCACCCTGCGTCAAGGACAGCGGCAAACGATCCAATCGCTCGAACGAGTCTCGGTGGCAATACGCCAGGCTGGCCAAACACGACCACAGCGCCTGGCCACGGACGTCGGCGACTGGGCAGGCGGGCTCGCCAGCGATTTGGCCCAGCCACTCCCAGATCTGAGCGGGGACCTCCGCCGCGAAACCCATGTCGTCCACCATCGTCTGCCAGTGCTGTTTGGCTCGCAACAGAAAACGGTCGTCCCTAAGAAGGTCCACGCCTGCGCAGGACGGGCCAAACATCGCGCCTTCCTGGTGTTCGGGGGGGGGGCCCGGTTTCTCGCGCAACGTGCGCCGCGTGCAGAACGCCTGGCCCCAAGAACGCCTCGCCGCCGAAACATTTCTGAAATCCCATCAGCCCTTTGGGCGTGAGTGGTTTAGCGAGCTCTCTCTGTTCTCAACCCCCCTTCTTCGCCTTCGGGGAGGGGTTTACCCCTCCCCCTACCCCCTCCCCCTGGACCTGGAGAGGTCCTTTCGCGGGTGGTTGGAGGGGTCTTTTTCGGCTCCTGGGAGGGCTAAAAAACGACACCCCGAACGAGGATTCTGGCCCCGACGGGGGGACTGACAAAAATGCTCGTCCCATCTGTGATCGATCGCCCGAAAGATGGCCCCAAGATACCTCCCAGACCCCTCCCAAAGAGCCCCAAGAGGCCCCAAGAGGCCTCCAAGAGGCCCCCAAGAGGCCCCCAAGAGGCCCCCAAGAGGCCCCAAGAGGCTCCCCCGAGGCACCCAAGACGCTCCCGGAAGCCCCTGGGGCCGCCGAGAGGCCCCCAAGACGCCCCAAACGGCCTCCAAGAGGCCCCCAAGAGGCCCCCGAACGACTCACACCAAAAGGAAGGGCCCGAACGACTCACGCCAGGACGAGGCGCCCGAACGACTCACACCACGAGGAGCCCGAACGACTCACACCACGACGAGGGCCCCGAACGACTCACACCACGAGGAGCCCGAAGGAGTCACACCAGGAGGAGGGGCCCGAACGACTCACACCAGGACGAGGGGCCCGAACAACTCACACCACGAGAAGCCCGAACGACTCACACCAATACGAAGAGCCCGAACGACTCACACCACGAAAAACCCGAACGACTAACACCAGGAAAAAGGGCCCGAACGACTCACACCAGGACGGGGAGCCCCAAACGACTCAAACCACGAGGAGCGCTTTCTCTTCCTCCTCCTCCGCCTCGTCCTTCTCCCGCTCCCACCACAAGGAGGATGTACAGGGAGGCGATAGGAAGGAGGAACAGGGGAGATATGCGGGGGCAGGCGGAAACACGCCTGAAAAACACGACTGTCGGCATGTTTCGCAAGAGCTGCTGTTTTGAGATGGGCTGGTGGGGACACGCGAAACGTGAAGAATTGTGAGAAATGCGAAGGCCCCCCGCCACCACGAAGCCCGACGCGCCCCGCCCTCGACTGCCTGCTCCTTCGGTGACCATGCCAACGAAGCACGCCGACACTGCGTAAGAGCGGACGAGAGGGTTCTTGCCTTTCACGAAGCCGTTCAACATATATCCCGATACTTTGGGGTCCGCCTGGCACAGCGCAAACCAGCCGTCAAAACCGACTAACAATGACCCGATCCACAACCTTACAGATCTGTGCACTGAGGCCCATCTCGTGATCGTGAAATTTGCCCAACTACAAAAAAAAAACCGCAACACCATTAACAATTTGTTCTGGCCATCTGCAGCAACGCGGATGAGCGTCGAGACGTGCAACTCCTGCGTGTCGACGTGCCATCTTGGATTTACCTCCATGACGACGTCGACCATTCTGGCGTCAGAAACCAGAAAATCCCACCAGCCCTCTGGGCGTAGGTGGTTTAGGACGTTTCCTCTTCGAACCCCCTTTTCTTCCCCTTCGGGCAGGGGTTTGCCCCTCCCCCTGCCCCGTAAGGGTGGTATCTTTGTGTAGGTGGCTTGTGTGTGTTTCCTGGTTTCTCATTTCCCTCTGCTGTCTCCCCCTCTCTCTCTCTCTCTCTCTCTCTCTCCCTCTCGTTCTTTCTGCCTGTATTAGTTTTTCGTTTGCTTTTGATTGGATTTGAATGAAAGGAGAGCGGAGCCCAGATCCAGAGGATTTCTATTTGGATTCTAATTAGATTCCAAGTGGATTTCAATAGAAATGGACTGGATTCCGCATCCAGAAGATTCTATTGAAATCCAATGTGATTTCAATGGGATTTCAATAGAAAGAGAACGGGTCCCAGGTCCAGAGGATTTCTATTTGGATTCTAATTAGATCCCACTTGGAATTCAATAGAAATGGTATGGATTCCGCATCCAGAAGGTTTTATTGAAATCAATAAAAACGCTGTGTTTTCCAATAATTCAAATTATTTCCAATATTTTCAAATAAAAACGCTGTGTTTTCCAATTGTCCAATGTTTTTCAAGGTTTCGGGTACGGCAACGCTGTGTTTTCCAATTTTTTAATTTAAAAATGAATAAAACCGCTGCGTTTTCCAATTGTTTCAGTGAAAAATAATAAGAACGCTGTGTTTTCCAATCTTTTTAATCGAAAATCAATAAAAACGCTGTGTTTTCCAATCTTTTTATTAAAAACTCAATAAAAACTATTTGTTTTCCAATTATCTTAATGAAGAATCAATAAAAACGCTGTGTTTTCCAATCTTTTTCAACAAAAATCATTTAAAACTCTGTGCTTTCAAATTATTTTAATGGAAAAACAATAATAACGCTGTTTTTTTTCCAACCTCTTTAATTAAAATCAATAAAAGAGCTGTGTTTTCAAAAACTTTGTATTGACAAATCAATAAAACAAAAAACGCTGCGTTTTCCAATTATTTTAATGAAACATCAATAAAAACGCTGTGTTTTACAATCTTTTTGAACAGAAATTAATGAAAACATGGTGTTTTCCAATAATTCCAATTATTTCTAATATTTTCCAATAAAAACCTTGTGTTTTCCAATTTTCCAATATTTTTTCAATGTTTTCCAGCAAGGATCGCGCGTCGCCCCGTTGCCGTACCCGAAACCTTGAAAAACATTGGAAAATTGGAAAACACAGCGTTTTTATTGGAAAATATTGGGGAATAATTGGAATTATTGGAAAACACAGCGTTTTTATTGATTTTCGATTAAAAAGATTGGAAAACACATCGTTTTTATTGACTTTTGATCAATAATATTGAAAACACATAGTTTTCATTGATTTTTAATGTCTTCACATAGAACCCAAAGGAATATTATAAAAAAAATCCATAAATACGCAATGTGCGTAACATATACTACATGTGAACGTGTGGATACGCATATGTTAGCTTTCTGGCATGGCCAAATCAAGAAACCATGCGCGCTTCTACCCGCGCTCTCTGCAATAGGTGCACGCTGACCTCAACCCGAGAAACCTGCCGACTCGCTCCCGCCCGCTCCCGCTCGGCTCCCGCAAGGCTTCTCTGGCGAAGCGCGTTTCCACGAGCTGCCACACATTTTCCGTTCGTGCTCGCATGACAAAGATGAGCATCGATATCTTTGGATAAACAGCGAAGCCACTTGGACCTAGAGGCATGCAAGAGAGAGAGAGAGAGAGAGAGAGAGAGAAAGAGAGAGAGAGAGAGAGAAGGAGAGAGAGAAAGAGAGAGAGAATGATAATGGGAAATACCGAAGGATACAGGAAACGAAAAAGGCAATGAGAAAGCTGGAGACACACACACACAAGAACACACACACACAAGCCACCTACACAAAGATACCACCCCCACCCCCCTGCCCCCCCCCCCTGGACCTGGACGGGGGGGGGTCGCTGGTAGTTGGAGCGTCCAAAATGGCCCAAGATGGCTCCAAGAGCGCCTCGGAGAGCCCAAGATGAGCTCCAACATTGCTCAAGCTAGCCTCAGATGCCTCAAGATGGCTCCGAAGATGCTCCAGTATGCCCGAAGACCGCCCCAAGACGGCTCCAAGAGGCCAACTTGCTTTCCCAGGAGGCCTCGCAGAGGCCAAAATCCTTCAACAACTCCCAAAAAAATCAATGTGCTTTGCTTTCTCGCCTTTTCGCTTCCGATGGCCTTCCGAGGCCTCAAGATGGCCCCACAAAAGCCCAAGATAGCCTCAAGAGGGGCCCACGAGAGCCTCAAAACGGCCCCAAGAGCGCCCAAGAGCGCTCCAAGAGCGCTCCAAGATGAACCCGAAGGGCGATTTTAGAGGATCTAGAGGGGCAGGGCTAATTCACCCCACCCTCTTCCTTGATCGATCGCCTCCAAGATGGCCCCAAGAGGCGCCCAGGAGGCCCCAAGAGGCGCAAAAATGGCCCGAAGATGGCCCCAAGAGGTCCCCAAGAGGTCCCCAAGAGGCTCCCCGAGGCACCCAAGACGCCCGAAGAGGCCTCCGGGACCGCCAAGACGCTCCCAAGACGCCCTAGGAAGCCTTCAGGATGCCCCCAAGAGACATCCGAAGAGACTCCGAGAAGCATCCAAGAGGCCTCTGGCCATTCTGCTCGCCCTTCTCCTCATCATCATCCTCATTATCGTCCTGCTCCTTCTCCTTCTCCTCATCCGCCTATTGCCCCTCCTCCCTCCTCCCTCCCCCCGCTCCCCCCCTCCCCCTTCAGTTCCTCCTCTTCCTCATCCACCTCCGATTCCACCTCCGATTCCTCCTCCTCCTCCTCGCCGTCTTGGGTAATACGGGTTTCCCAGCCCTGTGTTACTCTGTATGCTCCCTCGTTTCCCTGATCACCTCGATTTGCCTGGGCATCGTTACTGGACGGGCTGGTGGGGATACGCGAAGCGTCAAGAATTCCAGAGAATCTGCCGCGCAGACCAATCATCGGGCGTCCACTGTGGGTCATCGTAAACGACACGTCCAGCAAAGGTTTCGAGGTGGTCCATAATGTCAGAACTGCATTTTATGCATGAAGATATGGCGATATACAAATCATCGATGATGTTGTCAGAAGCCCATCTAGATAAACCCAATTTCATGCCATTGGACAAGCTGTGGCTGGTGCATTTCACGAACAGCTGGAAATGTGTCGCCTTGAGCAGAGGGACGTCGAGGAACGGCAGATCTTCTGAAACAAGACGCGGGGCTAATATTTGGTCGGCCATCTGGTATAACAGAGACCGCTTGCCGCTAATGAGCTTTTGAAGAGCAGTGAACAATTCGCCATCAAAACAATATCCGCTTCCGTGCCTCCGCGCGCCCGGGCGCGTTAGAATGCCTTGTGTTTGCAGTTTGGGGGGGGGGCGTGCTCGCGAGCTACCAGAGCCCATTCGGCACGCCGTCGCACGGAGACGGCCCGCGAGGTACCCAAGGCCGCCCCACGGCGCCCAAGATGGCCCCGCGAGACCTCCGACGCCGCTGCAGACGCCCCAAGAAAACCGAAGCAAAATCCAACGCGCCCCACGAAGAGCCCAATCCAGCCCCAGACTGTTTCGGGGCGACTCTAGCGAAGCCCGGCGGGGCACCGCGAACCGAATGTTGGACTTTCCGTTAAGCGAGCGCCCCAATATGGCCCAAGACAACGCCCGAGATTCCCACCGAAAAGCCGCCCAAAACACCAGAAAAGGCTCAAACGGCCCCCGTTCAAGGGAGCACGCCGCGAGGCTACACCCAAGAGGCCCCCGAGGGCGCATAATGAAATCCCAACGTCCATGGGGTTCCTGGCCCGTGTCCCAGGCACGGAGCGGTGTTTGCCGCAAGCATGCGGGTACCTCAACAACAGGACCTGCGGTGGTGAACCGAGCTGAATCCCAGAACTCTTCAAGAACTTTGAAGAAATTGCCGTGCCGAGCGCCGTGTTGGAGGGGGCGAGGCTCCGCGAACACCATCGCGGACTCCACGCGCCCCATGCCATCGATATATTTGACGAGCCCACGCTGGAGAGCAAAGTGGCGCCGAACACGGGTATTTCTCACAACTTGTTGGCCTCCCTCGTCGAGGGCAATGGCGTGACGGCTGAAAACTTGACCCTGCCATCCGTCGGACATGTACGCCTGCATAATAGGCGCGCCGTGCCGCCCAGCGAAGCAAATCGCACGATCCGCGTGCTCACGGGCGAACGCGACGAGGCCCAGAGCGAGGCACATCGCCTCCCGCTCAGACTTTTTTGTCAAAGCCGATGCATCGAGGCGGCACCACTTGTGAACGAGCTGGCACAAATCATGCGCCATGGTTGCAACGCTTACCACGTGAACCAGCAAGGCTCGAACACAAATGGTTACGGAGGAACCGCTTCATTCGTGGACCAATGCACTCTTGTGGAACACCGAAAATTTGCAAGAATGTTTGGCGCCGTCTTCGTTCAACTGTCAACTCGGAGGAATGCACAAAAGATATCCGCATGCCTTCGATGACATGTTCCACACCTGCGCGCCGCTTCTGTGCGCGGCGCGGCAACGATGCAAAACCCTACGAGGCCAACCGCGCAGGCATGGATGCAAGGGTTTCCGCGCGTAGCAATCTGCCCCAGTGCCCTGGCACGAAGGGCCGCGTGAGGCTACATTTGGCACCCCCTCCTGGAACTGCGTTTCAGCATCTGGAGCCAACCGCCCTCTACATCGAAGCGTGCGGGGTCAGGAACTCTCCCCTTCCCCCCCCCCCCTTCGCGCCGCATCGGGCGCGAGTGGAAACATGGTAATCAAAGGAGCGAAGCAGCCGCCCATTGTAGATGGCGATGCCTGCGGCTTCGACGCATTTGCCCCGATGGTATAAAACAACACTCGCGCCCTCGATGCGGAAGCCGCCCTGAAGCCGGCCATGACACCACAATGAGCCCCCAAGACGGCCCGATCAAATCCCGAGGCGGCCAGAGAGGCAACGAAATAATCCAACAAACGACCGATGACGCTCCAAAAAGGGCCTGGGGCGAGTGCCATGAATGGAACACCAAAGCCCTCCGCATCGAGAGCAACAAATAGAGTTCCGAAGGCAGACCAGCCGCCCCAATCGGCCTCCACAAACAATCACTAGAGAACCCGTGGCGTCAGCCGCCAGGAGTTATCTCACGGTCCCGTTCGCGGCCGTTTTGCGGGGATGTCTCAAGCGGTTTGCGTGTTTTCTGTCCCAACATCTTTCGCTGTCGGAGCAGATTTGGAGGATGTCTCGAGCGAGGCGCTCATTTTCACCCCCCATAGGGGGAGCCGCCAAGGGTTATGTCACGGTCCCGTTCGCGGCCGTCTTGCGAGGATGTCTCAAGCAATTTGCCTGTTTTCTGTCCCAGCATCTTTCGCTTTCGGAGCAGATTTGTTGGAGGATGTCTCAAGCGGGGCGCTCATTTTCACCACCCTAAGGGGAGCCGCCACGGGTTATCTCACGGTCCCGTTCGCGCCCGTTTTTTGGGGATGTCTCAAATGGTTTGCCTGTTTTCTGCATCAACATCCTTCGCTTTGGGAGCAGATTTGGGGGATGTGATGTCTCGAGCGAGGCGTTCACTTTCACCCCCCAGGTGGGTCAGATTTTGAGGGCGTCTCGATCGGTGGCCGGACTCGTGGGCACTGATTTTCCTCAGGATACCACAGGAGGCCTCAACAGGCTCCAGGAGGCCCCTGGGGACCACATGAGGCCCCCTGAGGCATCAGAAAAACCCAAAAGGCCACAGGATGCCCCAAGAGGCCCTAGGAGGCCACAGGAAGCCCCGGGAGGCCTCAGGAAGCCACAGGAGGCCCCAGGAGGCCAGAGGAAGCGCCAGGAGGCCTCGGAAGGCAACAGGAGGCCCCGAGAGGCCCCAGGAGCAGGAGGCGTCAGAAGGCAACGGGAGTGGCTCCAATCCCATGTGTTTACCGTATGTTCCTATATATTGGGCCTCACCTGGAGCACGAATCCTTGATGTTTTATACGTGTGATTATATAGATTGTCATTCTCCTGTGTACCTATGTTGCTATAAGGCCTCTCCTGGGGCACGCGTCCTTGGTGTTTCACGCGTGTTCCTATAGATTGCCCCCTTCTCCTGTGGCTCCAATCCGCAATGTTTTATGTACGACTGTTGCTAGAGATTGGGCCTCTCCTGGGGCACGAATCCCCCCCAGGAGGTCCCAGGAGGCCCCAGGAGGCCCCAAGAGGCTCCTGGATGCCCCAGTAGGTTTCAGGAGGCCCCAGGAGGCCCCAGGAGGACCCAGGCTCATGCGCAGAAGCGCGCTCGTACTACTGAGGCTCATTCACACTCCAATTGATTATCAGTTCGATTCATGACCCGACCGTCACAACTGAAGCCCGCTTACATTCGAAAACTCCTGCGCCAAGGCACTCGCGGCGGACAGGTCAATGCGAATAGATGTACATATGGGGAGCCCCACGCAGTGAATACTTTGATTCACGGTGGCGAGTGGGGCGTGCAACGACGTCCCTCCCCATCGTCAGTTACCCACACCATTCTTCATGTGTCTTTCTGTTTTGTGTTTCGCGTCGGACTTGCTTGTGACGGGACTGCAAACTTGTGGACGTCCGCAACGTGGTCCGTTGGGAGGCTTCACAACTGGCTCAAAGAAGCTCCCGAACGATCAACTACAAAATCCTTCCTGACATCCTGGACACCTGAGAAACAACACCCAAGCACGATGGAAAGGAAGCAAACGAGGGCAGGAAGAAGGGCAGGGGCAAGCGTGGAGGGAGGTCAATGGATGGGGTCGGTGCGACAGGATGAAGGAAAAACAGCCAGAGGGACATTCAACATGGGGGGGGGGGGCGTTTGTCTTGATAGCACCCCTACCCCCTATCGAAGCTTGGCAGTGTGAGGCATGATTGCTCGTCCTTGTTTCGAAGTTCTTGGAGCAGGGCGATTGTAGTCACTGGGAACATCTGTCTTCGTCGGCGGCGAGACGAGCGCAATCCGCACCGACGAAGGGGCACATCCGTGGCACTACTGAGAGAATTGCCCGCTGAGGAGCACCTTCGAAATAATATCAACTGGTTAATATGAACCAGCACACAAGAGGCGCAACAACACCAAGACATACTCATCCGGTACATGGCCGCACGAATTAACACAAACGCGAGTGCACATGAACATGCGCTTCAGGGATCCGCGCGGCCCTCCCCCGTGCCTCTTCCACGACCCTCCCTCCTCCACATGCCTCCCCTCACGCCCCACCCACTTCCCCTCGACTCGTTTCCCGACCCGTTCCACCCTCCCTCTGAAAACCACCCCTCTCGGCCTACGCCGTGTACATCGCCGAATTCTAGCGCGGAACTCAAACAGGATCACAACCGTGCTCCCGCCAATCTCGTGCCTCCCTCCCCTCCCTCACTTCCTTGGCTCCCCTTTCCTCTGTTCCCGCCTTCCCTCCACCCCGCCCCCCCCCTCCCACTAACTGCCACAACCCCGAGAGACCGAGAGACCACACGGAATGCATCGACGTTCTCTTGGGCAGGATACGCTCTTCCAACTCTCTGACTGCAGGCCAGGCGTCGCACTGCATCTCAAGCAGGAGAGATGACATTGAAAAACAACAGCGACACGTGCAGCGAAACCACCCCCGTCAGTGACAAGCCCCTCGGGCTGACTCCCCTCGCACCCCTGACACGCACAGAAGTGACCGCAAACCAACATATACCAGGCATGCCAAACGGCGGATCGGACATCAAGAAATTTTAGTTCCCTCGGGCGTGCTTGTGAGGCACCACGGGTGGCATGTTGGGGCGGT